AAAAAAATGCGCGGCACTTTTCACCGAGAGAGCATTCTTTGTAGCTCAAAGCTTTCGCTCAAATAGTTCGTAACAATGCGTCGTGCACACTTTAAATTGCCAGCATACTCGAGAAAAAGAATATCTACGTCATATAAGCGGGAGGAACGTGTAGTAGTCTTGTGGTTTAGCGAGGTAAAGTACCTCGGCGCGTAACGAGGGTTACGTCGGATATTTGCATAATGATTGCAATTATTATTGCCTTACCGCGCGTAATCTATAATGCAGTTCAAACGATAACCGCCAATGCATCGGGGACACGAGAAAGGCCCGTTAACATTCCCAGAGCGAAAGTGCTGGTGCAACACGGTGGCCCTTCACCCATTAGCGAATGTCGACGAGAAGACCAACACATTGCCAGATATCGGCATCGTTGTATACTCTCGTCGGTTGTACTAGATTAGCCGTCCTTAATGTCGTTCTTGCCGCAATCGGCCCGATAGTCGTGATTTAAAACGAGAATGTCACGGCAAAGCGACGAACATGTCATTTTATTTTCATTACCGTATAATCATTCTGTCTTTCTAATCTCAATCGAGCGAAATTAAATTTTTAGAGGCATTTGCATATACATTTTGCATTACTATAGGCATTAAAATAATATTGTGATATGAAAATAATATTGCATACGTAATATATTGACATGAAAATGTCAGAATAAAACATTTTTATTTTGTTTTTTTATTGAAGTACTTTTTTAATAGTGATAATTGCAAGTGAGATGCTAATGTGATTGATATTACTATAATATATTCACTATATTTATTATAGTTATTATATTATATACATATTAAGTGTAATAGAATGGTTATAAGACTAATTAATAAGATTTTAATAATATATTTAATAAGATTTGAATATTTCAGACGTATTTAAAATTAAAATTTATTATATTAAATAAAGAGATTGTTTGCACGCAGAACACGAGACGCGGCAGTATTGTTGAATAATTTCTTAGGAGATTACTCTGGTGTATTCGCGAGATGCAAGCATCATCCCCAAGTCGGTAGGGTAGATACCCCTGGCAAAGAGCTAAGGGGTCGCTAGTCGACCGTTTTCTTATCGACTGGAAGCTCCATGCAAAACGGCTCGCTGACTCCCCGATAGAAAGGGGTAGCTGCGAATTGCCGCCGTTGATTTGAACGGCTGCCTAAGGTCCACCCCTTCGGGCGAACATTTGGCCGCGTGATCCCAACCGATTCCGGATAAACGGCCGACTCTATAATTGCATAAGTTATGATTGCATCAAATGTATACTGGATTGTTTCGAGGAATCAGTTCCTGCATCTCGTATTCTCGTTTATGCATAATTGCTAGTCGATGTATTGCGCGATATCGAGAGAATGTTATCGTCCTTTGTTTAGCATTTCTCCAACTTTCTTAACTTTATACTCATTAAATATTTCACGAATAATTGTATGGTCGAAGGAATTCTAAAAGAAAGTCTTTTTTATTTACGATATATTTTTTCTATTTTAGTACTTTACATTAAAAATACGACACGTTAGGACATCGCTTTTAAATTTACATAAATTTTATTTTCAGAATAGAGCTTTTTTTTAGAAAGACGAATATATATAAACTTTTTTAATTTTATTAAACTTTTTCGACAATGTCGAAAGTATAAAGTTATTATTCTTTTGTTGCATACCAACTGAATTAATAACATTTGTTAAATACATGTATTATTACATATTGTAATTACAATGCGAATCGATGAAAACAAATTCTTTTTACAAATCTTCGGTAATATAAACCGATGTTTCGATACGTATGTTCTTTTTGTTATGGAATCCCAGTGTGAATTATGATCACCCAATAGAAGGAACCCCTGTGAACAGTATATTGGATTCGCGATACGCATTTCGCGTGTTTCGTGATACTCAAATTTCAACCGATAAATCACGGCTGCTTAGATCGGTGCAACCTCGAGAGGGTCGAAAGTAACTTATGATTTCTCGGGTCAAACGTGAATATGGAATCATCGTTCCTCTTTAAATCCCGGCTACGTAGCTTGTCTAACAATAAACTCCAAGCTAAGTCTTTAGAGTCAGATTTGTGTGCGAAATAAATAAAAATAGTTTTAAGAGAAAGCATACATAATTACTTTGAAACTTATTTTATCGTATAATGTTATAGAAAACTATTTTTATCATTTGAAATAAAGCTAACACAATGACAAAAGTTAATTGTAAATAAAAAATAAACTTTTATATCGCATGTATATAATTTTCCAATTACTTTTTAAATTTTTATTATCTCCAAATTATATTCAAGACATGTTAAAATATCGAATGCTTTGAAGAGTGGAATCTTTAATATATTTTGTCGTATTATAAAATATTGATGCACGCATTACATTTACTGTAGATATTTTAGATGACGCAACGCTTTTCACAGAGACAGAAAGAAATTGAGTTTTATATTTTATCAGGTGATTCGAGTTTTCCCTAATGCAGCCTTTTGCCGTCGATATGTTTTATTCCGTGACTTTAATATTTTTACATGTCAATTGAAAACCGAAATAATCATGGCCATATTTTAATTTTTACAAAAAAATTCTTAATTTTAATATATCTAATAAAAAAGAAAAATGTATTGAACAATGCATAATTATTAGAACACGAAAATTTATGAAGTTTTATAATGAACTTTTCAGGTAAATTGTTTTAAGACGCATGCCATTAAATTGCGTTTTAATGATTATTATAATAATTATTTTCTTTGTGTATAATATATAATTTCTCGACAAATAAATTTAAAATTATATATATAACTGTATACTAAAAGATATAAAATATAAGAATGAAATCACACAAATTATTCACGCGAATTCTTTCGTATACCATAACAAGGGTGCACCGACGTCAGCCATCATTACAGCCAATGTATTGGTCGAGCACCCCTCAATAACCTTGATACAAAATTCTTTTCACGTTGCTCTCAATGGTTAGATATAGGAAATATATGAAAGGCTCGACGTCTGATTCAACCGACTCAATGTTGGTCGAGGCTTTCTCTCCAAAACACACGAGTGCCGTTTGTGAGGCGCCTATAAGCTCGGACCCCCTTCCCCATGTAATGAAACATAAATTATTCAATCGAAATCAGCTGCGAACCGTCGAGCGCGTCGGTGTCTGCCACGACGCCGGGTACTTTCCGGTCAAAAGCGGCCTTTTAAACCGAAACCCTCGATCCTTTTCGCGAGAAAGGCGATGAAAGCGAAACGGCCGACCTCCGCTGGTTTTTTTACGCGCATGTTTTGAACGATTTCATTTTTTTCTCGACGCTGAATATCGTCTAGCACATACGCGCCTTTGATTTTTACTCGAGCAGGTAATTGGAAAATTTCGACTGTCCGTATTTTCCACGTCGAATTCTCGTTATTGAATCGTGCACAGAATTTCCAACAGTTTGTTTAACCCGTTTAAATTTTTTAAGAGCTTTAAATAGTAAGTTTCAAAACGCTGTGCAAACAAAAATGTATTGTAGAGAGAATGCGATTATAATAAATTATTTTATACAATTCTATTAAAGAGTTACAATTTCAGGTAAAAATTTTAATGTGGCAGTAAAAATTAAAATAATATAAATGATAGATTCGTCAAAAAATTTTTAATGGAATTTTTTAATGCAGAGTAGATTTGAGATAAACAAAACGATTTGTGTATTTAAATAGATTCTTTTTTGGAAAAAATTAATAATTCCTTTCCATTATGTAAAATATCTTCTTTTTTCGTCCGCATAAGGCATCGAAAACAGGGCGATACACACCCCGCGTATCCCCAAGGACCTCTCTCGATTCCACTTCCGGAACGGGCACGCGTTTTAAAATTGAATGCACGGCTCAATTCCGGGCGTGTCGACACGCGTCTCGACGTCAACCGGGAATAGACGTTTAGGTGAGGCCGTCAAATAAAATATACTCGTCCCATGTGAAGGGAGTGACATGAAAACATTGCGATCCTTCCGCGGAAGCTTCATATTGTTTGTATATGCATGTTCTGCAGACGCACACGCATCTCGTACTAGAAATCGAGGCTAATATGCAATTAGCAAAATATGACAACGAATATTTTCTGAGAAGTATCTGCAATGTGTGTAAAGATGTACATATATCACGCTAATCCCGGTAGAAAATAATGATTATTTTATGATTTCAAGCAAATAATCAACATTTTTACGTAATATCTTACATATTGGTGAATGAGAAGATATATCCTGTCTTGCATCTTTGCATATGTAAATGTTAGATATATGCAATATTGATAGACAAAAGTATCACATATTGAAGTAATTGAGAATGTACTTGGAGGATCTCCTTGGAATACTCCAAGATCGCGATTTGCCACGTTGACTCAAGCTGCAAACTCCCACGCGTTCTGGCTGCCTAATTAAGCGCCTATGTTCGGCGAAAGACGGGTTAGAATAACGTTCATTGTGAATCAATGTTTAGCTTGATGGAGGGCATTGTGTGTGTTGTTTGATAAAGAAAATATCTGAGAACGTGTAACATTTTTCGTCATGCAGAATTAATTCTGCGTATTTCAACGTAAATCGGGAACAGTGTTTTTATATCAATTTATGCGAGATGCAATTAATCTCATTATACAAGGTTTCACGCGTTCCATTTACCATCACCATACCATGTGTAATATTACCTTTCTCATTGAAAATTACACTCGGTTATTTTATATTAACAAGAGAGAATATGCAAAAATTGCTTATATATTGCTTGTATATTGCTGTGTGTCATGCTCGAGTTATATAAAAATTCTTTCCGATTATTCATGATATTTTTCCCAATGTGACAATAAAAATCTAGATATTTCTATATAAATCTATTTTATACAATTTTTTATCTCTTGTCAAATATTTTATCTCTTGCCAGTTGCATTTTTTTGAAATAGTAATTAATTTGAACGCTTCTATAATTTAGATTTTATATTTGTATGTTACAGAGACAACGCGTAAAATTCGGGAGTGCCGTTAAAAGTATCGCGAGTACAAGTGCGGGAGTGCCGTTAAAAGTATATCGCGCGTATGAGTGCGGGAGTGCCGTCAAAAGTATCGCGCGTGTTAACCCTGACAACCTGAGAGGAGGAGGAGGCCTGGAAGGCATCGGGCACCGGCCGAGTAACCCTAAGGTAGATTTTATTAATGTTGTCGCATATTTTTGAACGCACCATTTCATTTTTTAATAAGTTTTAATTATTAGTGGAGATAATTAAATTTTTACAAATTTTCGAGTCCCCATTTAGATACCCTAACGTTACGACACGTTTTTTTCAATATTTTTTATTATTGAACCGAGAACCATTTCTTTAATGTATTGTGTACTTTTAATTTTTTTATGTTTTAATCATTAGTAGCGATAATTAATTTTTCTCAAAATATAATTATTTTATATATATTTGTAGTTTATTATTGTTATGTACTAAATACAAAGTTTGGCGCGTCCAATAATAATTTTTTGAAATAGTAATTAATTTGAACGCTAATTTAGACTTTATATTTGTATGTTACAGACAACGTCAACTACTTCATTGTTGTGCATTGGTGTTATGTGAGTGAGATAAACTTTTATTAATTTTGAAGGTAACGGATTTATAGATCGTAGTTGTAAATTGTAGAGTGTAGATAGATTCGTTACCTTCAAATGGATGGACTAAAATGAATTAGATCAAAGTTACTTAGATTGGACTTTTGATAGATGCCTTTAATATACATAATTAAAGCATATTACTTATACCAATGTAAATTCAAGAAAAATATAAAATATATATAGAATTCCAATTTAGATTTAACTTATTTATTTTATTTAAGGAACGCGCTTGTGTGTGTGTTTTATTAACAAATTGATTATCCTAATTTTGTAGTCCATCCATTTATGTATGTAGTGTGACTTGAAAATACTTTGATTGACGTAAATCCAAGTTGTCGATCAATTAAATAATATGTATATAATATGAATATATTTAATGAATTTTATTTTATTACAAATTTATTGTAAATTTTTATTATAAGTAATACTATTATTCTATATTATATATATTATATAATATATAATATTTGATAAATATTAATGAAACCATTTTGATCGATGACTCGGCGTTATGTTAGTTAAAGCAAAATGAATTTCAACTATTATGACAAACGATCATGATTTCTTATGATCATACTCGAGCGTAAAATTACGCTCATGCACCGGCGATGATAAATAGCTGGATACGATAGAAATTTCTTTCCTTTATTGAGATCTCTTATAAAGGTCAAAGGTACATATCTGACGAGATTTAACCAGGATGATTATGGCCAAAAAGGTAGGTCCACTGGCCTAAAAAACAATGTAATATATTCGATCTCGTTGCATACAATTCGATTGCATATGTATGTGTGCATTATCTAATCTTATCATATGCATAGGCATATGTATATCTTTTGAGCAATATATTATATTTTTTATATCAGCTTTATGATTAGGCGGGAACGAACGTGATGATCCGTTGTAAAACTCGACGCGAATCATCACCGAAGAACGAAAAAAATAAGCAATGTTGCACCAGTCGGGCGGAAAGGCGCGTATAGATTTTTATGCAAATTCTATTGATACCCGATTGTGCCCGATGATAGCGCACGAAACATGCACGTCCCGCGGTGACTACGATGGCGATTAGTTAGAAAATAGCCCTACTTGGCTGCGTCTCTGCTCCGCTGTATTCTCGACGATTGGTCGTTGCTGTTCGAAAAACGGTCGCGATTCGTCGGAGCCCCTTCGCGACCTGGCTCTAACGAGGGCGAGGCAAATCGCGATTAACATTGTTCTTAAATCTTTCAACCCCCGGACGAGACAGCAACGCAACTTCGCGCACGTGAACTCCGCGCTCTTTTATCAAATATATGTGTTTCAGAAATTACACGTGCCGCTGTATTTATCGAGCGCAATGCGACTCTGGAATAAATGGAAGTTGAACTATAGTTTAAACGAAACTCTAAGGGGCGTTGCATAGGAATATAATTATTTTTGTTAACTTGGCATTTCACCATGCACGAGGTAAATTCGAATGTCTGGCATAATAAAGTGTTAAGTTATTTTATTTTCGAATTTACTGCTCATGAAATAGGTTCTTTCAAAAAATAATTCAAAGCAACTTTAATGTTTCTTCGATTTTCTTGTATGTTACAATGCGTGAAATATTACGAATTAGTAATATGATTTTAGACCTTGGTGTCGTCGGAAATAGCGCGCTACTGTTGACGTCCTTTGTAATTATTCGCGTGCCAACATTCAAAGTAAAGTCGCAGTACGTGAAACGTTTCATCAAATTCTTTTTTTAAACGTGATTGCGATATCAGAATATTATTTGCTATAATATTAATTATAAATAATTGACTTGTATAATTATATCGCGACGATAGGTCAAAATACTTTTTTCACGTAATTTATTAATTTAATTAAGTAAGAACTGAAGTGAGAGACAGAGAATCCAAGTTATAAAATAAATTAATTATAGTTGTGATGTTGATGGACAATACTATTTTTTTAAAATACTTAGAGTCAAATATATTTTATTCTGATATTTTATCGTTCAATTTTTCGATGATTTAAGTAATTTACATTAATGTGCGAATAAAACGATCGAATCGCAGAATTGAATAATAAGGATAAATTCCGTGATACAATCGCCTAATAAATAATTAATCTCTATATTTTAAATATTAAACATTACGTTCTTTTCATCATATCAGAATGAATATTAATAATTTTTTATCTTAATCTCGAGATAAGTTTAAAAAATAATCAAAAAATGATTTCGCGAGCAATAAATTAGCATTTTATTTGTCAGACATCCGAATTTGATTTCTCACAGTGGGGTTGTCAATTAAACTAAGGTAATGCAATCAAAGTGGAAGTCGTGGGTTAAGAGGGCGAGCAATTTTGCAAATGTGTTTCGAAAACCTATAGTCTTTCTTGCATGTTTACACTATTATACATAAATTGGACCATTCTCGTTGTTGAAGGCGTGCGTGCAATAAGAGGTGCGTGACCCGAGGTACACGATTACCGGTTGGCGCGAAACTCGGACCGATTTGAAATATAACCTACTCGTTATTAATAAAATTTGCATTTACAAGGGCGAAAAGGTGTCACGGCACGCCACGCGGGACGACAGAACACCATTCCTATCTTTAATAAGATTCGCTTGATTCGAAATTAATGATCTGCCATTTCTTTTAACAAGTTGGCCCCAAGACTTACATTTTTAAATAGCTCTAACTTATCGCCTAATTACTAGGATAGATCTGAACGTGATTGATTGATTACAGTCGTTATTTTACATGTAAAATCTGGATATATTTTTACATTTCGTAAATTATTACATTTCTCTTATACTAAAACAGTTATTTATCAATTATTTGACTGTCTTCTCGTGACCGCAATGAAATCTCATATCTTTCAAGTTGAACATTAAGTTCCCGATTCAAGGCTTTCGTCGCGTAATCGATCTCGTGTACATGCTTTTTTAAATAAAATCCAGGAGACGCGTTCGTTTAGTGTTAAGCCTCGGCTGCGAGCTCGTGGAGTTCGTGGGGTTTGATTACTTGTTATCGAGGTAACTCAACCGTCGTCTGGCATCTGATAAAGGCCCGCGAGTAATTATTAATCATAGACCGGGCAGTATAACGATCCATCCGAGTCTTATCTCGGTGTCGAGTGATGTATGTACGTGGCCGAGGTCTACGCGCGGCAGCGTGACGGGAGGGCAAGCGGGATCGTGCAACGTCTAGAAGGGTGGTTGCTCGGTAGGTTACTCGCTCGCTCGCTTAACTCCCGGAGCTAAGCGGAGTTGCAATACTTCATCGAGATAATAACTAATAATCGATAGTAGCATTGCCAGGGTACGTAAGTACGTGATCGCGCGAACAGTCCTTTAGCCCCTACCACTTTTCTTTAACTCACCCCAGTTTTGCCCCACTATACCCTCCCGTCTTCTCTCCCATCAGTCGAATCGGTGGGTAGTTTCGCCTTTTAATCACCCATAACCACCCGACGATGGGCTACATGCAAGACGCTCGTAGGTCAAAGGTTGCGCACTCCGACTTCGTAAATTATCGCGAGCTTAACTGTTACCCCGTCGAATGAACAGTTCGAATACGACGTATCTTTCGCGGGAATGCAATTTCTGAAGAGCGAGAATGCAATTTTCTCGTGTAACGTGTGTATCGTACGTAGAGTGAAATATTTGCAAAGACTCGACACGCTATACATACATATATATAGACTTCTTCTTCAAAGATATATTACATTGTACTTTAAGTACCAGGTCGATTGCAGTGCATATTTAGGAGTAATATACGCGAGCAAATATGTGAGCCAAAAATAAATATTCGTTACGCAGTACACAAAATTAATTTATTCATTGAATATATACAAGAATATTATTTAAAAATATACCTATATTAATTCGTTATTATAATCAAAAATATTATTGGTGATCAATATTGAATATATATATTGCGCATATATATACCTGTGCTATTTATACGTACACAAGAGAGGGAATCGAGCGACAGAAAGAACGAAACACGCAGCTAGGACGGTATGGAAGAGAAAGGGGTGGAATAAGGCTGTAGGTTTGTGCACAGCGGTGTGCAAGGTAGGGTCGCTGGATCGCCACGCGAGATAAAGTATTACAATCGAACGCACGCAATAAGCCCTATCGCTAGTCGATCAGCAATAAAATGTAAAATTTAAAACGGCAATTATCTCGTGCCGTGTATCTGGCTAACTCGTCGACGCGTCGCTCCATTTAACTTCCTCTCTCGCACTCTCCGCTTCCGTAGCGTACCACCTATGTCGCGACTAACCACCATCGGCCCTTCCACAACCCGCGCGACCGGTTCAATAATTAATACATCGACGACACTATATCGTTGCTAGGCGATTATTTCGCCAAACATGTTCGCCGAAACGATCATGCTGCGAACACGTTCGATCGTCGATATGTGCAATCAACCGCACAATCAGGAGTTTCAGAGGAACGTGATTGTATTCATTTTGAAGAAACTAATTTTAGTAATCTCGCGCATAAATTTTCTATAATTTAATTTGGATTAAATAAAACAAAAACATTAAGAAATTCGACCTGTATTTCGCGATATATAAATTGTTACGTCAAATCGCGGAATTACTTTTTAACAGTAATATATGTATATTTTCACAAGTTAGATTTTTACAAGATTTATCGTACCTCTGACATATTTCATATAAACAATCTACGCACATATGATAAGTATATTGCGACGTTTCTCTTCCGCATCGAGTGTCACCGGCCTATTTGCATTCCAGTTCAACCGCAATGAAAGGCAGCTCGAATAAGGATTCCAATAAAATGTTTGGGGAGGTTTGCTTTGGGTCGGGTGGTTCGGGACATGGAACGTGGAATTCGATATTACAGCGTTATTCTGTAGTTCCGTATATGTTCGCTCGTATCTGCACGTCAACGTAAATTGTCCTTTCCCGTCTCTGTGTGTTGTTCGAGAAGGAATTTTTCTCTTCGTATC